CCAGAAATTAGCAACAACACCAAGTACGTCGCATCTTTACGACGGTAAGTGAGTGACAGAAATAGTCGTATTCCTAACTGAAAGTTTACGTAGACGGTTTTCACTGTCAAATACTCGCAGCTAGTTTTGTCATATAAATAAATAGTCAGTGAGTGAGTGAGTGAGTGAGTGAGTGAGTAAGAGAGAGAGAGAGAGATGTGCGTGTGCAACGCTGCAGCTGATCGCTCAGCTGACCGCCCCGCGTGAGCCGCCGGGCGTCGCGGCGGTGCGCCGCTCCTGTCTGCCTCTTGTACTCGGCCAGTTATTCGCTGACTATTTCTTTGAATAATTCAAAAACTAAGCTTCGGAGAACATTTTGGTAAGAGAAAAATCGTCTTAGAATTTAATCAGGAATACGACATTTCAGGGACACTATACCTATTTTGAATCACCCTGTATACCTTTTCTAAAGAGATTTCTATCTTCGTCCATTATTAACTCTTTACAATTTTTAAAGCAACCATGTGATATTGTCCCATTTTTGTCCCAAAGAATCCAGCCACAATATCCACATTTGAATTTCTGGTAATGAATAAAATATCATATATTGTCAATTTTATCTACCTTTTAATTTGTGATAAGAACAATTTAACTCAATCTATTTTATAAGTGTTATGTGTTTAATGTTAAATAATTGAATTTACGTGAAAGTACATGTGAGATAATATTCTAATATATATATATATATATATATATATATATATATATATATATATATATTGTATTTTCTATATAATAACGTACCAATGACATTGCTTCTTTCGTGGAAGTGATAAAAATGACAAAATTATAACACAAGCAAGCACAAAAATTATGTAAAGCAATCAGATACTTTCCGAATACTCTCGATCTGCTCTCTGGGGCTCGATTCTTGAATTTGTTCGAAGGAGAAACGTATGCGAAATTTCTGCTCTTACAGAAAAGTTGCAAGTTGATTGGCTGTTCGCATGGCTTCAACCAATCGACTTTCAACTTTTCTGTCAGAGCAGAATGTTCGTATACGTTTCTTCTTCGAATGATTTCGAGAATCGGGCCCCTGTACTGTTGAGGTTAGAAAGTTTTCCGTTTCTTTTCCGTTCCGCAACAGCTCCGTGCCATGGGGAGCCCATCCATCGAAAACCGGAACGGAACTGAACCGGAATTATTCTGATTGGTTAACCCCCACCATATCTCTTTTCCGTAACTGTTCCGTTCCGCAATTTCTTCTTCCATCGGGATGCACCCTTACGGAATTTTATGTGTGAAGGCCTTTAGCAGACACAACTGTTGAGCGAGCGCCCCATGATTTCTTAATATGATTGGCTGGATCTAAAAGTATTAACCAATCATATTGAGCGCTCACTCAGCAGTTGTATCTGCCGAACGCGGCCAATTTTACAATCCTCTCGTTGCTCAACGGGAGGCTTGGAGCGCGACGTTAGCGCAGTGCACCGCGCATGCCTCCCGCTTTCTCGCGTTCCGCTCTAACCTCCAAGTTGTCGTCCACTTTCCTCGCTCAGCGAAATCGCGAGTCCGGGACAGGTTAGGTCGCCAGGAGCCACGCACTGGACTGGAGGTGACCGGAGGAGCCCTCGGCGCGCGTTCCAGGCCAGCACAGGCAGATTCGGTAATGACCGCGGGCGAACCGCCGTTTCTCGCACGAATCGGGCTGTCGCGGTTTCTTCGTGACTTCTTCGCGTTATGACAAACGGCTACCAGCGAAACGTCAGCCTCTCTTCGTTGAGACGTCTCGAACTTCAGGCTCGTTTTCGTCCCGAACATTGGTCGCGTTATCGTGACTTTTCTGTTTTCACTCAACAGTCCACAACTGTCGCGTTTATTTCCTGAGTACATTTGTACCCTCTTGTCCCAGAGTGTAACCGCGTCCGATGTTTCAGCACAACGCGGTAAGTCTCGTAGCGTAGAGTGTTCCCAGCGTACGATGAACATGGCAGCGAGCGCTGGCCTCACGCGGCAGGAGGTGCTGATGCTGGTGGCGAGGTTGACGTGCGTCGCGGCGATCGGTTTCTTCAGCATGCGATGGCTCATCAGTCAGCTTGATCCTACCAGGAGTACCAAGCAAAGGGCCAAGAAGAAGGTTCGAAATCATCTTACGTGCCTTCTCGGGACAATTTCAGGGCTGCTTATTGTCTTGATTTCGCAAATAATGCCTGAACCTTTGACTGCTTAGTGTCTTATACGCACAAGTTGTTTCACAGGCTCGAGAGCAGTTGCGCAAGTTGGCAGAGAGCGACACGTATGCGCGATCCTTTGACATGGACCAGTTGACAGACTACGAAATGATAATAGCCAATCATCTGGTGGATCCAAGCGACATTAAGGTATCGTGGAGCAGTATCGCTGGTCTGGACAACGTTATTCAAGAGCTCAAGGAGACAGTCATCCTGCCAATACAGAGAAAGGAGTTGTTCGAAGATTCACAGTTGACTCAAGCGCCCAAGGTATCAGATTCGTGTCCCTCGACAAGAAATTAGTATCTCAGATGTGTCCTGCGCTTGCCGCTTTCAGGGAGTATTGCTGTACGGTCCGCCAGGTTGCGGCAAGACCATGATCGCCAAGGCTACCGCTCGGGACGCGAAAACACGCTTCATAAATCTTGACGTGAGCATTTTGACTGACAAGTGGTACGGGGAGAGCCAGAAGCTGGCCTCCGCCGTTTTCTCGTTAGCGGTGAAACTGCAGCCCTGCATTATTTTCGTTGACGAGATAGGTACGTCGCCAAGAATAATCATTGTATCTCGATTTATTTTAGAATATTTTATTAAAGGTCCTCGTTCTTCAGCCTTTTGTAAAACAACTTTCGCTACAGCTTTATATGCTTTTGATACAATTTAATAATGTAATTCGTCATTATCGTAGATACCGTTAATACGTACAGTTTAATGCGATAGATTTATTATGTGGTGAATAAAATTTCTTGTTTTAATATACCTTGAACGTTGGCAGATTCGTTTTTGAGATCGCGCAATTCACAGGATCACGAGGCCACGGCGATGATGAAGGCCCAGTTTATGTCAATGTGGGACGGTTTGATAACCGATCCTGACTGCACCGTGATTATAATGGGAGCCACTAATAGGCCACAGGATTTAGATAAGGCAATTCTGCGTCGTATGCCAGCGACCTTCCACGTTGGATTGCCAGTATGTATATTTATATGCAATCTTAAAATCTATATAATACATAATTATGGAATATAATGCCCATATATCTGTTCCAGAATGAGCAGCAGCGGGTAAAAGTATTGCAATTGATATTGAAAAACGAGCCAACTGCAGACAACGTAGAGATCTCAACGTTGGCGAAACATACAGAAGGCTTTTCTGGGTCTGATTTGCAAGAACTTTGTCGGAACGCGTCTATATATCGTATTAGAGACTATTTATGCTCGCAGTACGTATTAAATGTTGTACAGAAAGTGAATCGAGTGTCGCGAACTGTTCGAGTTTTAAAAATTAAAGTCGCGTACCACAGCTTCTATAATGTCTTGTTAATTCACAGCGACGGACTCAAGTGCGAGAACAACACAGAAGATGAATATGACGAAGAATTTCACGATACCGTGCGGCCCATCACGATGGAGGACTTGCTGAAATCGTTCAGAAAAATGAGAACTTCAAAACTGCACACGGGAACGCTCAGCACGAGGCAGCTGGATCTAGATTAAGGAAAGAAATTTATCCTTTGTTAATTGCTGTCCGTGACTGTTTTTTTTTTCACAGTTCTTCGTGTGTTACATAGCTGTTACGACAACGATGACAGTGATATTCTGCTTCGTTACGAAACTACAATCGTCGATACTGTTGCGAGTGGTTTCCTCGTCGTGAACGTTAAAGAATTTTTATGGAAACATTATGATGTTGAAGTAGCGCGAGTAGAATCATCGAGCGAAGTGTTTATAATTCCATAGTAAAAGACATCGTAGGAAAAATTGTATAATAACATCAATTGGAATATTTCTCCGAGTATTACATTAAATTCATTGTCTATAATGACAATGAATGGCCTGGATGTTATTTAATCTTATTTCAAAATTTTTTATTTTATTTTATTTGATTTCTTTTGTAGAGAATATAATATGTTGTGAATCTATTAGATAAATTATAATTTTGTTTCACGAAAGGAAAAAAATTAATAAGTATTAATAATTCGAGATACAATTTTTCTATAATATGATACAAATGAAATAAATAATAATTAAATCCAATGACAGGTATGTCCAAAATTTGTGTATATGAGTAAATGTATAACGGAGTATTAAATTGTGTGAAAAACAATTTTCGATTGTTAATCGCGTTAACACAGTGCGAAAATTATATCAATTTGCGAATTTTGGGATAAACTCTTGAACTTTACGTCAATGTCACATGAGATTTTTATATAAAATATGATTTCACAGGTATTAATATTATACATATATGTATATTATGCCTTTTTAAACGGTAGTATGTACATACAATTGTGCATTTCTGTGTATTCTATTATTAACATATTATTTCAATTTTGAGTCTCATTGTCATTTCTTTATATAACTGCAACTGTGAAAAGGTACCATTGTTTTGCATATTAAATTATTGCTTGTAATATTTTTTTAATATTTATAATATTTAGTTATTCGAAATAGGTTAATATCGTTATTAATAGATTTTACAGAAAATTAAGAGAAAAATTACGGACATTTACAAGTATATGTATATAAACAAATTATATTTATTGAAACCACTAAGTTACTATAGTTTTACAATGTACAATAATTACGCTTCAGTGTAATATACTTTGCCTTCCAATCTCAAAATGAAATTGTTACGAAATCTAAATTCTACGCAGTTAATATCTAGCAGTGCTTATGTGTGCTATTCAATTCCACACTTGTAAATATATGTAAAGAAATATAATAGAGTAAATAGAGCACACTATACAATATACAGACATTTGGTGGAATATGAAAATTTCAGGTTTAATTCAATATCCAGTGTTAGCTAATTTGTCATTTCGGAATCAAAACGGTTTTACTTTAGCAAGATTGTAAAAAGACTTGTGTATCGAGAAGTACCGAAAGAAAATAAACCACGCGCATAGCAATTCGGTAGACATTCGCACTTTTGCAAAAATATCATCGGAGACTATTTAAAATTAAATCAGACTGCGCACAATTGAAAAAAAGATGTGACACATGTATTACCAGGAAATAAATGGATTTAGAGAAAACGCCCCAACGTCCATTTCCTGACAAGACTTTCCGAGAACCGAGTTAGATCCGCGCAATTGAAAGAACCGAACTAATAGAAATATTTGATGGCGCTTCATCGAGCGCCTTAGATTGCATCAGAAAATGTGGAAGAGGAGAGCCGGGATTTTGGGGTGGGATCGCAGGTGTGCATTCAAGGGACAAAGCACCTTTCGTCAGCACGTTTTCAGGAAGAGCGCGATCCGGGAGGAACATCTTTTTCTCATCCCCGAGTTTCGCCGGACTCGGGGAAAACTGAGAAATTCGTTTCGGGCTCTCGGCACTTACCGCGTTAGCGACGAAAGCGAGCTACGAATTTCAGAAGGGAAAAAAAGGACGGCGATAGGGGAGGATGCAAACGAACGGGATCTTCTTTTTGTGTCGTCCTTTTAAAGAGAAGAACAAAAAAATGAAAGAAGAGCCGTGAAAGAGGCCAAAGGGTGCCGGTTCACGATCGAGTTGTACCGTACGGGCGGAGACGCGAGATCAGAGAAAGAATAAAACCGATTTCCGCTCGCCTCTCGCTCGGGCTCTCGGTTCCGAAAACACCTGCAAGCACGCGAGGAAAGAAAAAGCGTCACCGAAAGAAGCGCCGGCAGAACGGTTCATTCTCCACGCTGGAACGAAATCGTTATTGGGCTCAGGTATAGAAAAGGGCAGGGAAGAGGCGAGATACGGTGTTGCATCCCAAAAGGGGACAATTCTGAAGAGAAAAGGACCCCGTCGCTTGGATTACTTAGAACAATTGTCTCGGATAATTGCGCGACCGCACGCGCGATAAGTGTATCGGGCGTCTCTCATTTGAGGAGACGCCGCACAAAAGGGATGCGACGCCTCGAGCGTTAACAGTTCCTCCACGATTATCTCGAGTATATCCGACCGCGTCGATCCGCCACCGGGCGCTCTTAGGCTTCCGACAAAAGTCGTCGAGGTAAAACGAATAATCGTAGAAACGGGGACGCGGCGGAGGTTCGCGATAATCTGTCGCGACGAGCACGAATAAGGGCCTGAGGGTCAATTCTGTATCTTGCGGTAGGCGATTTTTTTGGCACACGTGCCAAACAGTCGCCAAAATTCGCCTTGCACAGAGGGTAGTCTCCTATTATGAGACACAGGCTCCTAATATGAGACAGCAGGGTTTCCGCAAAATAGGCATCACCTGTTGGGGCACCGCCACGAATCTATTGCCCTTGGGAGATTTGGTGGCAGATTGGTTGTTCGAGCGTGTAATCGTTGCGAGGAGAGATTTGCCATTGAATTTGGACGTTGGCGACCTACAACTGTCACTTTAGAATCCCAGATAGCGTGGGCGCAAGTTGCTTTCGTATTGCTAACAAAAAGTGTCAGCGACAAGTAAATAAAGGGGGGCCAATGGTGACGAGCGGGAAAGTTAACAAATCGATATGTAGAAGAATTTTTAAGAATTTAAGGCCAATATTATTACGCGCTAAAATTGGTTTATGTCACCAACAAGGATAAAGCGTATAACGACGCCAACAACTTATAAACAGTATTAAAGATACAATTAAAATTTAGACATAAAATAAAATAAAAATATTAACGTTTCGACTCTACTTAGTCATCTTCAGCGAACGTGTCCTTGCCATTAGATAAACGGTGTTTCGCTCTCCCTAATATTTCTTTGCATCACTATTCAAATCAATTATATACATTTTAAACTTCAACATGTTACAGTTGAAGTACAGATCCGCGGACGCGTTTCGGCACACAGTGCTTTCGTCGGCCCAAGCTAAACTTAAAATTAAATGGTTATTTCGTCTGGCGCATAGTTTCTCAGTGATTGTACAGTGGTAGAGCAATCGAGACGGACAGGATCAGTCGGTTATAAAAATGTAAGCATCTTGCCGTGCATCTGTCGCCTATTGTGCCCGTTGCTCGCCCGGCATTTCGTGTCGGAAATGAAACATTTGCATTATCCAAACATTACGCGTTTGTATATCCGATATCCAAACATAGCGGCCAGATGTAACAGATATATATAACGCGTTTGTGTCCGCCAGAAAACTGAAAACGACGTATATGTTAAGTCTTTGTTGTAACAGCACGGCCATTCGACGCGTTCTCTCTTTATGCTGTGCACTCGGCCACGGCAATACGTTAACACATTATGTCTAGCTGTACTCAAATCACCCGGGCATCGAGTTCGCATTCCTAGCCGAGAGCTAGCGTCAGTCGCCGTCATTTTATTTCGGGTATCTCGTAATGGAGGACTTTCCTCTGCCGAAAGTGACAAAAGTGAGCGGCTTGTCTCTTTACGAAGGGACGATAAGAGGCAAAGCAATTCACTTTTCGCCGTATAGCGTGAGATTGTCGCGGCCGTTTACGACACCCGTCGCAAGACGTAAAGTCGGCGCGCACAAAGAACTGTCGCGCGTCGCCCCGCGACGCAGCGCGCGGGACGCGAGACGGCACGTCTACGGCGATTCCCCGTGCGTTGACTCCCGACGGCAACTCCGGGCCTCGCGACGGAATCGCAAACGGTTACGACCCTTTTCTTCCGCTCAAGAGAGCGACGCGGGAAACGGCCTCTCCTCGCGCCTCCTGCGCTCCTCCGGCGGATCGCCGAGAGAGAGAGACCCCGCGATTCGCTCGCGATGACGCGAGCGGAGCGCGCGCGCTGAATGAGAAACGCGAGAACGGGCCGAGCGTGCGTACGCGGGGCGTCCGCGCTTGGTGCGTGCATGCGTACATACGTGCGTGCGTGCGTGCGTCCGCGGAACGAAACGGAACGGAACGGAACGAAACGCGGAGCGGCGGGAGGGGGTGGGGGGGACCGCGGGGATCAAGGGGGGGGCGGGAGAGCGGAGAAAAGAGACACGCATACTCGCGCGCGCACGTACACGCACACGCTGTCATGGCGTTAACGTTAACGACGCGTGTCGAGCGTACTACGTGCCGTCGGCGACGCTGCCGCGAAGCGAGGTGCCGGTAATACACCGCCGTTCCGCCGCGGAGCAGCAGCCAGCCGCCCCTCGCCGCCCCGGGTAACGTACGCGAGGCCGACGGCGACCGTCGTCGTCGTCCGTCCATCCGCACGGGGCAGAGAAAGAGTGAGCGAGCGAGCGAGCGAGGGAAGGGGGAAGAGAGAGAGAGAGGGAAGGAGAGCGAGCATGTCAGCCGCTCGGCTTCAACTCGCCGAGTCCGTCTCGCCGCGCTCGGACCATCCACCCTCCCCCTCCCCCCCGGCCAGTCTCATCCGCGGAAGAGGTAACGCGCGACGTGTCCGCGGGACAGTGCACGAGGTCGCGTACGGCTCCGCGCTATGAAACCCGCTCCATCGCCGCCGCCGTCGATCGCGAGAAACGAACGCGTCGCCGCCGCCGCCGCCGCCGCCGCCGCCGAGCGCGCGCAAGTGGGAGCGAGAGCGCCGCTTCTCTCGCCGCCTCTCTCTCCACCGTAGCGAGTGCGAACGCGCTTAACCTAAAACCCTGCCTCGTCCGCACGTCCCGTCGCCGTCTCTCCCGCGGCACCTCGCGGGGCCCCCGTCGTCACCGTCCGGCCTGGGTAAGCGGCACGGCGAAGCGTACGCGGGCTGGTGCGACGCGACGTCTCGCGCCGCGCGTCTCCGTGTCCCTCGTCGCGTCGCGTCGCGTATTGTGTCCCGTCGCGACGCAACGCGACGCATCGCATCGCGATCGCGTATCGCATCGATCGGCTCGATCGCGGGCGCGATGCTAACCTGCCGTTCCTCCCGCGGGTCCAGTGTCCGCGTACGGCGTAAACACGCGCGAGTGTAGGTCATCGGCGGACGCGACGGACCGCTCGGTACCCCCGCGATCCTTCCTACCTCCGTTCGCCGAGTTCTCTCCATCTCCTTCGGAGGTAAAGGTGTGGAGCTTCCGAGCTCTCTGTCTCTCTCTCTCCTCCTCCGCTGCCCCCGAGAGCCGACGACGACGATTGTGTCATCTTTGTCATTTTTCGAGCAGGAATGCCCGTCTGAACGAACTGGAGAACGGTGGACGATGCAACGACCCGGAGGCCGGTGTTTTTAGTGGTGGCTCGGTTCAGTTACGGAGCCTGTGAACGAGTGCGCGGTGTGCATTCCTTATATTCCGCGCCCGCCCGCCCCTGCGACTCGACGGAATATCTGGACAGCTGCCCCGACCGAGGTCGCTCGCCGCGGGCTCTCGCCGTGTGATATCGCGCCGCGCCGGCGATGGTGATGACATGCCGTCGTAAGATGGTCCGATCAAGAGCCAGCGCCGGAGCTTCACGGTGGAGAGACGCGACATGCCCGATGAGAAGAATGCCTAATTAGAGGAACACATGTTCTGGGAATTGATGGGTATATGCTTTTCCTGCAGGAGACCCACCAGCGGCAGGTTGAACAGTAAAATCTCTGAGCATATCTCGGCCTCCGTAACCCCTCTCCATGTTTGTCTGGAGGAACAAAGAAGACCAGAACTGGGCTCATGTGACGCCTCGCAAGCTCACAAGCCTCAGGTGAGGCCTGCGTTAACGTCTCAGTCCGTCGGACCGCGTTCTCGCAACGAGTCGAACCGTTTTCTTATCTGTAACGTTGCCCGTTGCAGGTTAAAAGGACCTTTGAGAGTCAAAAGGCAGAAGAAGAGATTCCCGAGGAGGTGGCTGAAGGTGATCCGATCCAAGTCGAGACAGGAGAGTTAAGACAAAGCCAGCCAAGCATGGCCAATACTATCAGCAACATGAAGATGACTAATCCCATAAAGGGGCTTGTTAGTAAACGCCGCAAACGTTTCACAGAGGACGGTTTTAATCTTGATCTCACATGTATCCTTGCCCAATTGTTTTGCACCTATGTATGTAGAATAGTTACAAGTAATTAGATATTAGACTACTGTGTTTACGTTTGCACTAATGCGGGTCAACCGACGCTGAATAAATTCCTTAGCGAGCAATTGTGACATCAGATATTAAAGCGAATTTAATAGCGATGGGTTTCCCTGCTGAGAAGCTGGAAGGAGTGTATAGAAATCATATTGATGACGTTGTTAAGCTGCTGGAATCTAAACATAAAGACCATTATAAGATTTATAACTTGTAAGTACTTTGGAGAGACCGACCGGCGCGTCGTTAAAGTATCTCGTTCGCGTTAATTTGCTTTGACACGATGTCACGATGTTTCAGGTGTTCCGAGAGGTCGTACGATTGCAAGAAGTTCAAGCAGAGAGTGGCTACCTACGCGTTCGATGATCACAATCCACCAAAGCTGGAACAGATCAAGCCTTTCTGCGAGGACGTGCAGTCGTGGCTGTCCCAGGACAAGGACAACGTAGCCGCGGTTCATTGCAAGGCGGGCAAAGGTCGAACGGGTGTGATGGTGTGCTGTTATCTACTTCACAGCAAACAGTTTCCCACTGCCACGGAAGCCCTTAATTATTACGGAACCAAACGGACCCACGATAGGTGAGTACTTTTGAGGACTCGGCGCTCTCGGTCGCTCTCGATCGTCGACAATTGTCTCATGTATTCGACTTTATTGCGCTCTAGGAAAGGCGTAACGATACCGTCGCAGAGAAGATACGTAGATTATTATGCTACCCTTCTTCAAGAGGGTGTCAGGTATGAACCAGTGACGTTATTACTGCGTAAAATACAACTGGACCCAACCCCAATTTTCAACGGAGGCCAAGGCTGTAAGTAACTTGTATAAATCGGATTACCGTTAACAGTCGCTGTTCGTATTTCGCGAATTTTTATTTAAGAAATAAAGACCTTTTCTTTTGGCTTCGCAATTTCTTTATCTGCGACTTCTATTTGTACATACATAATAATAATGTCAAAGCTGGATCTTGCTGTGTAAATTCTTCTGTCGTGTACTTATTTTTCTCTGTAGAGCAAAGTTATCGTAATAATTTCTGATCGTGTTGTAATCGACGTAAAACTGGATTCTCTCTTATATTTTTAGATCTGCATTTTGTAATCTCGGAATCAAACAAAAGGATATTTTCGCACGATTGCGAGGTTCCGAAAGGTACATCTTCTATCTGCATCCCATTGCAAAGCAATCCTCCCGTCGCTCTGACGGGAGATATACGGGTGGAGTTTTACAACTACAGGCCGAAAATGAAACGAAAGGTGCGTACGTTCGCGATACTTGTGTCAATCTATGCGGCACGATAGATTAACGAACCGCGTGTTTTTACCGTACCTTCCAGGAGAAGATGTTTCATTTTTGGTTCAACACATTTTTCGTCCGTGAGAAAACGAATTCCGAGTGCGACAATTATGGAGAGTTACACGTTGAAAGATCGGCGAGGGCATTTAGCTGCGACGGCACGGCCATGGAATTACCGATGGTTATGTCGCACATGAAACCTAGAACTGGATCATTGGCGAGTCTTGGTCCCATGCCGCCCACTCTCGTTTTACGGATAGACAAGTCAGGGTTGGACAATGCACACAAGGATAAAAATCACAAGCTCTACAGTCCGGATTTTAAAGTTAGTTTGTTTCGTGTTCGCAAAGTATAATTAAAAATGTGAAAAGTTTAGCAAACGTACGCGTGTCGGGTGTCTTGTAAAACACTCGGCATTAGATACTTGGCGTTTTGCAGCTGGGATCAGAATTCTGAGAGCAGCCGTACAGCGTTTCAAATACTTGGTTAGGCAAACTTTGAATGAAATTAATTGAATATTACGGTCCACTTAAATTCGAATAGCAAGATCTTATCGAGCGCGAGGTGCGAACATTCGATCACCGGTGCCTTTTAATTGCAGGTGAGTCTATTTATGCATAGCGTGGGCGGCAACATATCGCCAGCTGTGCCAGCGGCGGCGAACAGAGGTGGCGACGGTGTGCAGCTGGGGATGGGCGGGCAGGAGACGCCGAGCGAGTCGAGCGAAGCGGACAGTAGCGAGTGCGACACCACCGGCGACGAGGACGGTTGGGAATCCGGTGAGTCTTCTGCATCCCTGGTGGTGAACCACCAACACCACCACCCTCTTACACACAGCAGTAGCCGTACACACGTTAGCAGTCTCCGTCCGCGATGCAGTCTCAAGGAGACCGCCAAGGGTCTGCTGTCGCGCGGCGACAAGAACCGGAACAGTAACAGGCAGAGCGTCCCCGGTGCAAGCGCGAAACGGTCTTCCGCGCCGTTCGCGCGCTCCGCCACTCTCGACACGTAGTAGCTTGACGAAACGCTCCCGGTACTTAAGAACGGTCGGCGGTGTCTCGCGTCGCGACGCGTCTCGCGCTTTCACGAGATCCTGCTGTTTCTTCCGAGTTTTCTCCTCTTCGCGAACGCGCAATGCGACGACTAGAATCCGAGGAGATCCGTTGTACAACATTTTTGCAACCTCCGTTCATTACGTTATTCTCTTTTTGCACGATCGTTCCGTTTTTCACTCTGTTTTTCTCTCTCTTCTCCCCCCCATTCTCTCTTTCTCTCTTACTCTCTTCTTAATTTTTTCTTTGTTACATCGTGGGACCATGAGCCTTCTTTTTTCCGTATTGACAATTCATGTCTTATCGGTTACGATACTGTTAACTGTCGATTCTTCGCGTATGATACTTGATAGCAAAGTTGCTACCGTGAAGGTCCACCAAGAGTTTCGAATAAATTGAGTAAATTGATTAGTTTACCATGCAGAAGCCGAGAAGTAGTGCCGGTGATTTTAAGGAGATAAACACGCGGAACGTTTACGACAACGGCTCAACCATTGTTTCAACATGATGAAATTTTAACGTTTCCCTACCTACAAGGAGGGATGCATAATTTTGCTCCCTTTACAATTCGGGCCATGTTTCCCGAAGTTGTGCGTGCTGCTGAAACGATTGCAAATGGAATGGACGTTTACTTGGTTAAAAGATTTTTTAAATAGCTAAGGACAATTATCGCGAGTAAAGAAAACCGAGAGTGAATTGATATTAACAGTAATTTGTAATTCAAACATTGATAGAGAGTTTAATTTAAAAGAAATGTATACTGGGAACCCGCCATCGCGGTGGATCTTTCCCGTCCAGTTTCTCTTCTTTCAAACATGGAAATTACTTCAACTCACGCATCATCTCAAATACCAGAAATGAAGAGAAATTGGTAGAGTCGCGCGCAAATTAAATTTCGATAACATTCTGCAATTAGAAAATGTATCTTTAAAGTGTGAAATTTACTCTGTTTAAACGAAGCAAGTTTTATACTTTTGTTTCTTAACAATTCGTGTATTTTTATCGAAATCGCGTGCATATTTGCACACAATTGATTTCCTCTAACAAAACTTTCGGATAAACCAGCGCAAAACGTGCAATATTAATACTTGTAATGTGACAATGTGAAATTATTTAAAAAAATAAAAACAATATCTTCTCTATTTTTAAATGCGTAAAATCACGAAGCAACGTGGCACTTGCACTGATTGTACTACTTTCGTTCTTTTACACTTGTTTAGTACTTTTTAAATAAGGGCGGAAATGCCTGCGTAATTTAGCGGATTTAAATCTAACAATAAGTGTCGTTTTTCTGTCTCGATAGAGCTCGATAGTTCACCTACGGTTCTCTTTCGCGGTCATGAAAAAGGAAAATTGGAACGATCTCCCGCGAGCACGTTAGAGTCGAATCGCGTAGAGGACAATCGCGGGTAAGTGTTGGTCCACAATCTTGCTTTAGTCCCAATCTACAATAGAGATTTAAGCCCTAAGCCTTAAGAAATTGACTAATCACAGTCGCGTATTCTACTCATACTTGACCGTGATTGGCCAATTTCTTAAAGCTTAGGGCTTAAATCATCTATTGTAGACTGGGACTTAGGTAAGCTGCAAGCCTTAAGCCGTAAGAAATTAACCAATCACAGGCATTTATTCCCCTCACTCTCACCTGTGACCGATTAATTCCTTACGGCTTAAGGCTTACAGCTTACTTAAAGCAAGGTTCCAACACTTACGTTTAGCTTTATGTAAAGCGTGAATCGCGGTATACACAGGCAGGGAGGGGAGGAACGCGAAATACGCGCGGCCAGATTGGTCCGAAATTTTTACACGTTTTCTAAATCTCGTGTTCCCGCGCGCGCACGTCCCATTCGCGCCGAAGCACTCTGACTTTATAAAAACAATGTTGTCGACCCCTGGTCCACAATCTTGCTTTAAGGGGTTTAGGCCACCTTGAACGGATCAAAATCAATGTCATTTTTGTTGGTTTTTTTTAGAAATATAACAAAATACATACAAAATTCAAAAGTAGGTATGTATTTAACATGTCTTTAAGGTAAAAGAAAACATTTTTTTGTTTATTTTTTATGTAAAGTATAGGCGGTAAAGCCGAGACACCGAAACTCCTTTTTCATCAGCGGTGGGGACAACCTCACGGCTACACCTTTGGACCTAAGACAGGAAACCAAAAATTTTTATTATCTAGACACTAGAAACTAGAGAAATACATATGGATTTTTCAATATATTAGAAACTTAAGTAAGCTGTAAGCCTTGAGCCGTAAGAAATTAACCAATCCCAGGTGAGAGTGAGGGGAATAAATGCCTCACAGCTTACAGCAAGATTGTGGACCAGGGGTTGCACACATACACACACACATTTACCTTGTGGTTATAACTACATAATACGTATACACGCGCGCAAATATATTTACGCATATATACACGCACATCCATATATAAATGTATATACGCACATATGTGCATGTATATGTATTTATGTGTTTGTACGTAAGTATGTATATATACGAAGAAGATACACGCGCCAAGAGAGAGATTGCTGTAGAAAGGTTTACAGATTGCAGAGTTACATTTGATTAATACAATACACGGGGAGAATTTCCTCTTAAAACTTATCCTGAAAGTGTAATCGTGGGACAACGTCGCGTTTTCAAGAACTTTGTGAGTTTTTGGAAATTTCGCTACACTGAGAAAAAAAACATTGTTGATATATCACTAAATATGTTTAGTTAACATTTTTAATTCAACTATATATGTTTTTCAATTAAACATATATAATTTATTCAAATATATATTTTTTAATTAACAAATGTTTACGTGAATTAACAAATATTTGTTTGACAGCGACTGTAGCATATAGTTTAAATCAAGAAAGACCCGCTTGACTCAACAGTTTTTTCTTTCTCAGTGTAGTAATTACACTTACATTTTGCATACTAGTAAGATGTATGGTAAATTTTCAAGAAACTCACACGGTCCTTGAAAACGCCATGTCCCGCGATTACGTGATTTTCAGGGTAAATTTTAAGACAAAATTCCGCGTGTAGAAATGCGCGGCGGGTATAGTCTGGAAACAATTCCGGAGCAATTTGTTTGGGGTGACAATAAGCGGGATGTGAGACGCGGCGAGAGGAACGAACGGTAGAATACAGTTTTAAGAAGCGGTGTTAAAACTGACATTTTACCGGGAGTTTCCGGCGGATCACTTTCGACCCTGGGGCTCGGGCGTACGCGAGACAGCCTTTTTTTCCCCCCCGTTTATCGACGACGTGGAAGTACAAATACGTAGAGATTCATATACGTGGGATTAAAGTAAGCAGCGGGTGCTGCTGATTACTAGATAATGATTTTTCTACTCGATTTCGTAACAATGACTCTCTCGAACGAGGACTCTAGATAGGGGAAGGACAAAATAGGGGATCGTGCGGGCGGCGCGAGAGAAAAGAGGAGAAAGAGGAAAATCTCCGAGTGTAGATTTAAAATCGCGATTGTGTCGATTGCTGTTTTTTTATTAGAGAGAAAGAGAAAGAGAGAGAGAGTTCGCGATCTTAGACTAACATACGTGACTAACGTCGCGTAGAATAAATATACGAATAAAATATGAAGAAACATAAATTATTAGACGGTTGAATTTACACATACACACACACGCGCGCGCGCGCGCACAGTTACATGAAACACACAACTGGCTTCGGGATCGAACGTGTAGTTATTACGTAACATAACTATCGAGATCTTCTTTCGATTCTTCTTTCGTTATATTAGCTAGGCGAAATTATTATGAATATTGATAACCGTAATTCAGTTGGCGCGATAATACGCTAAGCATTACGTTGTCAGACTATTCTTCTTTTTTTTGTACAAAAAGCTAGACTTGCGATAAGGTAACCGCGCGTTTTACTTTTCGCACGGAGTCGGGCTTGAACGATACTTGGAATGAACCTTGTTACAAGTAAGGGTAAAGGGAAAAAGTGGGAAAGAAAAGAGTGAGATGAGGATTTGACACGTTTCTTTCACGATTTTACCGAGACGATTATTTCGAACGCTTAGTAAAAAATGGAACGCGCTCCGTTCCGCCGCGGCTCTGGATGTGTAGTAAACAGAATTATATTTATTACATAATATTACGTGTAAAATTATTAATTTAAATAAACGTAAGATAAATAACAATAAAGATTGTTACGGGTGTCCCCCTTGCCCGTGCTCGTGAAAAGTAGTCGAATTAGTTTGTCAAACGGCCAGGAATTCGCGAGGTGTAATCGCGAGTAAATTCTTCGGGGAGGTGCACGTCCCCTGCCGCACCTCCCCGAAGGTAGAATTAAGCGTTCGTCGCACAATTTTGTAAATATGTAGCCGATTAATTATATCGATGTATTCTCGTAAGGACTAATTTTGACAGATTAATTCGGTGCGGCACACCGAGTGTACCAAGACTTGGCCGGTTCATTTTCCGTCTATGGTTTCTTTGACGTTAATTTGGCGTCAATTTTGCTTCAACAAAACAATACCGAAAAACAATTTTCGGTAATCGAACTCTAACGGCGCAAACGAAGCGTGTGTAAAACTTTATTAATTTGTTTTTTACTTTTAAGTAGATTTTAACGCGACAGATTCGTAAGTTGGGGACCAATTACAAATATATTTAATATTTGGAAATTGAGAAATCGCACGGCAGACGACGTTCTCGCTCTTAGCCGAGGAAAGATTGACGTCGAATTAATCGACGAAACCATAAACGTTGTTCAGCTGGGTCTCTGTAGACGCGGGAACAGTTTTGACGAGCCCCTCTTTCATTTCTCGCGTGACTACGAAGTCGTAGGCATTGAGATTTGCACTCGGACTTTCTGGAAAGCACGGATGTCGAATGTATTATGACGTTGACGAAGAAGCAATTTATTCTTGTTCCTTCGAACGAATAAACGAACACCGAAGCCCCGTTACGTTTTCTCTTTCCCCTCTTTCTTCGTTCTTCTTTTGTTTTTTTAAATATTTTACTTTGAAACCCCGCTCTTCTCGCACTCATTCTCGTTGCATGTAAATAATTTATACGGTTGCGACTACTTGAAGATATTGTTACAATGTTTGAGACATGTGTAAGATCTGTATAAGCAAGATACATCTGTTTTAATTGTATAATAATTATTTTGTGATACTACTCGTATACTTATATTATCATTATTAGCCGTATCGTTGTTATATCATTATTATTAGTACAATTAATGTGTTATTATATTAGTGAACGCTACTGCTAGTATATAAATACATGCACACAAACACACAAAAACACACACACACACATACGCCTATATATCGCTATTCTCCCATCAGCCGCGATTCGCGAGAATGCCTTTACAATTATTACTTAACATAATTGAGATGTTAACGATTTTTCAAAGTACTACTATGTTTACGAATGTACTGTTATGTTTACGAATGTACTTCTGTAATTCGATACTTTTAAGACTAAGATTATATACACATATACATATATACATTATAATGTATTATGCATATATATATTATGCATATATGCATATATACATTATATATGAATACGTGGTACTATACGTTTTGTAACATTTTCTATTTGCAGCGCCTATTTCTGTAGAGAAACATACATATTACTTTTTCAATCCTACCTCCAATGTTTTTTCTTTACATTTCTCAACCATTCTCTTTTCTCTTTCTCTTTCCCCCGGAAGGATCGTGTAGCGCTTGCGACATTCGTAATTGCAATGATATTCTCAATGCTTTTAATACCCTCAATCCCTGATGCTCGTTGAGAAGACCGAAGTGTATTTACAATATACAATTCGAAGCCCGACATATTAGATTAATTTCGTGAAGGCTTGCGTTCTATCTGTTGCACTGAATGTCATTAGATCAGCTTTTTATATGTAGAAATACTACATCGACCGCAACTCTGAAAGAAGACTGCCGAAGCGAGCTCGGTTTTTAAATCTTGCCTGCGTATACAGTATT